CAATAATATTTTAATAAATTAATTATTGTAATTAATATTATATTATATTAAAATGTAATAAGTACATTTTACATTTTTATATAATTTATTATATTATATTGTATATTAATTATTATGTAATTAAATTTTATATTTTTATACAAACGTAATAAATTAGGTATATCTTTTAAAAAATAAATAAAAAAAAAGAAAAAAAAAGCAATAAAATAATTTTAAATTAATAAATTAATAAATGTGTAAATGTGTTTAGATTTCCTTTGGTGTAAACAACAACGTCACGAGAAATGTATATTTCTTTCTATAAATCTAATAAATTAGGTAGGTTTTTTTTTTAGAAAACTAAATCAAATCTAAATGAAAACTAAATTTAAAAATAACAAATTAAAAATAGATCGAAATTCAAAATCAAATGATTTCAATGAATAAATGTGTTAATTTGTTAGTATTCTTATGGATGTTTAACAACAACGTAACGAGAAAATGTATTTTTGTATTTCTCTTTACTCTTATTTTGAGTTCAAGCGAGTTATATATTCCCCCCTTTTGATTTTTAATTCTATAGAGGCGGCATTACGAAAGAGGCCTTCTCTGCTTGGGTACATGCGCTTGCATTTCACGCTGAGTTGATTCCTGGTGCAGCAGACGATCGTGTCCTCCCATCAACGTAGTGCCTCGTGCATGTCTGTCACACGTACCGATTCCATGCATGCTCACGTAATTTCAGGTAACGCGAACCACCGTCGTCGTCGTCGTCGTCGTCGTCGTCGTCGTCCCACCTTCTCTTTCTCTTTCTCTTTCTCTTTTACCTTCTCCGTTACTACTACAGAAAAGAAAATAAGAAAAAGAGAGAAAGAAAGACAGAGAGAAAGAGAAAGAGAAAGAGAAAGAGAGAGAGAGAGAGAGAGAGAGAGAGAGAGAAAAAGAAAAAAATAAAAATTGAAAATTCTCTCTGCGTACTACTCCCCTTCTTTCTGGTTGAAGCGGGTCCACCAAAGAATTTGCAAAGATTTGTTTCTTTTTTTCTTTTTTTTTTTCATTTGTAACCAGTAAAAAAATTCCATTCACGATACCAATCTTCCAAAGAATTTGTATATCCCACCGATTTGAGAATAAAACGATTCTGATAAAATGATCATCTTGTTTTGTATTTTTATATTTATTTATTTATTTTTTTTTAGAATAAAATTCATACCTTGATTTTTTACTGACACATATTTTTTTCTTAAACAATTATTATTCACATAAATATCTGTAAATTGTTATATCGAGATATCAATTATTAATTATTTGCATCCAAAGTTTTAAAATATTTGTTTAATTATATATTTATATTATTACGTAAGAATTAAGTACTCGTTTTACTTGAAATTATTATTAATACATTTTTTAATTTATAAATATTGAATATATATTGTAATTAATTATATTTAATTAGAGAAATTTTTAATGAATTTTTAATATAAAAAAATATATATATATATATATAAGTGCAATAATATAAAAATTTATTGCAACTAACTTGCCACGTTAAATTATTCGAAAGTTATTTAAGATAATAATATAATTACAATCTCATAAATAAATATAAAACAAAAGGATACAAATATTTCAATCCACAACGATTTATCATATCGAATAAATTTTGTTTTTCAATAATCAAACAATTATTCACCCATTTATTATTTAATTCATAAAGAAGTAAACGAACAACAGGTTGGATGGAATAAAAAGGATCAAATTTCCAGAATTATTATGAACGCGAAATATCTTTCATATTACGTAAAGATAAATATTAATTAACTATGACGTTGATTCTTCCTCATGAGTAGAGTGGTGTGTTCCTTAAAGAAAAGGACACACAATCAACGTTTCTCGTTTGTGTTTAACGCAGCACACGCATGTCACTGTCATAACCACACCTGTGTCGTTGTAGTGAAAATGGGATGATGATGATGATGATGATGATGATGATGATGATGATGATGATGATGATAATGATGATGATGGAAAACGGAAGGAAAGATCGAAAAAATCTTTAATTAATAACAAAGGTAATTTTCACTCACCGTGTAACTGCGCGAGCGACTGTAACGTGTTGGCATTGCAATTTATGAATCCTGTAACACAAAATAATAATAATATTAATATTAATAATCAAATTTTATTATCCTGTAATTAATAATAATATTAATAATGTATTAAAATTAATATTTTGTAGAAAAAAGTAGGATACAATTGATAAATAATATCGAACGATAAAAAAAGAAAATTATAATATACATAAAATTGTTTCCTAAAGATATGCACGAATCATACACGAACATACACACACACACACACTTTAAAATAATAAGGTTTATGTGAAAATACTCGTATAAGTGTTATGAGAATCTTAGTGCTGTTAATTATCGCGTAATGGCGTCGTCACGAGCTCGAAAACGAGCTACAGTGAAATTATGTTAAATTAATTTGTTAATTATGCTTTCCCGTATGCATACACGGCGTTACGTTCAGAAATTGCAATGACTTTGAGTGTACAATTCTAAAGTGAAAGAGAAAATGAGAATAAAAAAAAAATAAAACATCAACAACAACAACAACAACAACAACAAAAACAACAACAAATTGTCGTGTAAAAGTTTACACCAGGAATTACACAGTTGTAACCAGCCGTTTCGTCGATCGCAACATTTATTTTCACTTGTGAAATCATTAGACTGTATAATGACAGACACGACAACTATACAACTACTAATACTACGATAACAACAGTGACAAAGACTGCTAATTCGTTGTATTTATTATTATTATTGTTATTATTATTATTCATTAATTTCTATTGGACTCTCTCGTACAGGTATTGTGAGTTTTATTAATACACGTGTTACGTAGTTTCATGTACGTTTTGTATATACATTCATTTATAATAAAATTAAAAAAAAAATAATAAAAAAAAGATTTTCTTTTTTAACTTGTTTGACGATACTTCCGATAGTTGTTAATTTGTTCTTTTTTTCTTTTTTTTTTTTTTTTTTTATATTAATCTGACAAGTAATATATCCAACGTGTTTTTCATACATGTTTACTGTGATTTAAAAAATAAAAAATTCGCAATAAGAAAGAATAAGAAAAAAAGGTTATTTCAAGAAAAATTCCTATCATCTATCTTTATAAAAAAAAAAAAAAAAAAATATTCCAAGAAAAATTTAATCAAAATTACATTTTAATTTTAATTTAAATTAATTTTTTTTTCTAATATTTTATAAATTTATAAATATTTAATATATATATTTTATAAATTTTTTTTAAATATTTATAATTTTTTTTTAAATTATTATTTTATTTAAAAAATTTACAAATGCAAAAATCATTGCAACATCAAATTTGTTATATATAAAAATGAAAAAGAAACAAAAAATGTTTCATTCAAATCAATCAAAGATAAGATTCAAACGTTGTTATCAATTCCACACACACACACATATATATCGCTATATGCATTTGTTGTAAAACTTAAAATAGAATACTTTCTATATAAAGTAAGAAAAAAAAGGAGTTCTAGTTACGAGAAAAACATATTCCCATGACAGAAAGATAACCTCATTGAACTAAGAGGAAGAGACCCCCTTTGCGTTTTACGTTTAGTAAGGTTATGTACGTGCGTAATAGTTCTTGATGACTATGCATATGTAAACATTGACATTAAAATAAGCACAAGTTTTAAAGTCCATTTGTATTTTCCAATCTGTCAGTCTCATCACCCTTCTTCCGCTTTCCCCTACCACATTTTTCTTTTTTCCTACTCTTTTATATTTTCCTTTCTCTCTCTCTCTTTCTCTCTTTCTTTCCGTCATCATCATGGTCATCGTCATCAACATCAACGTCACGATCGGGGACGCTTTCCTTCAAGTTTCTTTTTACCTTCTTATTCATTTTTAGTATCAACTTCGTACTACGAGCAAAGTGAGAGTCCTATACGTGTATGTATGTATTAAGAAATACATGAATTTATATACAGGGTGATTCATTTCAGTTCTGAATGTATGCTAGATCCAATGATATGCAACATTAAATACAAAACCTGACAATGACCAATAAAAACTATTCAGAAAATATCTGTTTCGTCAGTTGTTGAAACAACTAAACGATGACACAACCCTGACACAATCCTGACGTGACCAGGATTCGACTAGGACACAGAAGGGCTGTATTGTGGTCGGATTGTTCGCCAGTTTTCACTTTCATTGATCACCAAAAATATTAACGTTGCATATCATTGGATTCGTTATGTCAACCGCTATCCGAAAATAAGTATTAAAATATACCATCGTATTTAAAAAAAACAAACTTAACCAATAAATCTCAAAAATGACTCAACCTAACCAAAAAAATACTAATGTCATATTATAATCCTATATTTTACATACAACTATCATACTTTCCGAGTTATTTAGGTGGCAAGCGCTGATGAATCACCCTGTATATTTATTATAGGTATATAAATAATGTGAGTGTGTATTAGTACGCAGTGTGTATGACGAGGGCGAGAGGACTTTCATTAAACGTATGTCTAATTAGTAAGAGCTGCGTTTGACGTTCTGTCTCAAGCAACACATCTTGAAATCTTTCTCTTCCCCCTTCCCCCTTCCCCCTCCCATCACCCCCTTCTCTTCTGTCTCTGTCTTTCATTCACTCACTTTTCCTCTTTCTTTAATTCTATGGTTCCTGTTTACGTTGGATTACGATATAAGATAAACGTTTGTTAAATTTACCGTTTGTCATACACGTTTGAAACGTATACAAATAAATTAGATGGATGGATGGATAGATTGAGAAAGATAGGAAGAGAAAGAGAAAGAGAGAGATTAATTAACGTAACGCATAATTACTAATATCAATGGTGCATGCGAATAAACGTACGTAACAGTTAAACCATGAGGAACGGGATTCGTAGAAACGTTTCAACAATTATATTTAATATTGCGTTTGCGATGAGAGAGTAAACTATGAGTACTATGACAATAATAATAATAATAATAATAANTAGCACTTGAATACGCTATCTGGTGGCTAAATTCAAAATTAGAGTAGATAGGTCGAATTTCTACGCCACGCCCCTGCCAGAGTTCCCAATACGTTTCTTTCCCACCCCTCCTTTTATACTACTCTAATCAAAGTGATTTGAAATTTTGTTTCAAAGAAGAAACTTTTCTTGTTTTTTTTTTTACTGTAATTATTTTATATATTTTAATTATTTATAATTCTAAAATATTTAGTAAATTATAATTATGATAATACATAAGAAAAATTTTTAAATAAGATTATGTCATATGTAAATTGAAATAATTTGAATTGTAATACAATGCCATCTATTGAAAACTTAGAGTACCTACAGACTTAGATAACTTCTACATAATAAATCTTTAAAATTGCGATAAAAAATACAAAATAAACCCGATAAAAACTATCCTATATTCTAAGTTAGAAAAAATCACACAAAATATACAAAATTTCATTAAAATCGATTCAGTAATTTCAAAGTTATTCGTGAACAAACATTGTGATACTAAATTATTATATGTAATTTTTAATTGAAAAAAGAAATACATTATACATAATATTTAATAAATTTATCAAACAAATTAATCATTTTATGAATGAAATTTATTTTCATTAAAGATTAATCAATCGAATTATCGTACACTTTAAAAATATAGGTTAGGAAAAAAACAAAATACGTAATTATATCTCACTTTTCGTTTCTATTTAACATTCTTCATATCATATTTTGAAAAAAAGTAACATTGCGATAAAATAAACGAATGTTTCATAAGTTGGAAACACAAAAAAAAAGAAAAAAAGAAAATAAAATAAAATAATAAAAAATAAAAAAGCTAGAAAGAATAGAAAACTTATATAGTCAAGGATCAAAGAATAAAGAAATGTGGGACAAGGAAAACTTAACGCCTTGGCTTCGTTGTTCAACGATGTACTTAGCTCGATTATTCGAATCGATAGATGATCGTGAAAATTTCAATAAACGTCAAATTAATGATCCAAGATAATATGGTATACGATTTAAACGTTATCTTTTATCTTTTTTTTTTTTTTTCTTCTGTTTTAACGTTTTCTCGTCTCGTTTCATCTCGTTCTCGGTGTCACGTATTTTCTTTTAATTTTTTTCTTTTTTATTTTCAATATTCTTCTTGTTGTTTTTATTTTTTTTTTTTTTTTCATTTTACTCTTCTTCTTCTTCCTTTCTTTCTTTCTTTCTTCTTTTACAAATCGTGACACGGACATTCTAATCAAGAAGGCAAAGTACCGTAATCTTCCTTCGCGAATTAGCTTCTCGTCGTGAAACAATGAGTCGACGACTCGAGTTCTCTAGCAATGCAGTAAAGAAACGTAAATACCTATGTATACATCTACTTCGTTAATTTTACGAATAACAAACGTAGAAGAAGATTACAGAGTTTTTACTATTCCGCGTACTAAATCTCTTCTTTTTTCTTACCCACCTCCTCCTCCCTCTCCCCCTCCCCCTCACCCCAACTCTCTCCCCTTTTCTTGTAATCTCACTCTCTACGATTATTCTCGTTCTTGCTAATTTTCCTTTCTCGATTGTACGAAATAAAAAAAAATATAAAACAAAACGTTATAGAGAAAGAAAGAATAAAAATGAGTAGTAGGAGAAGATACTAATTATTAGAATATTGTAATAAAAAATGTAATAAAAAAAATGAGTAAAATATAAATGTAAATGTAATATGTAATACAAAGAAAAAGGAAATATTTAAATATTGAAATATATTTAAATATGCTAATATTTAATTATTAATTAAATAATAATATTATAAATAAATTGGTATTATAATATTATAATAAATAAAATAAAAAAATATAATAATAATATAATGTAATAATATTTATATAATTATATAATAATTATAAAAATATTATAATAAATTAAATAATAATATTAGAAAAATAAATTAATATTATAATATTATAATAAATAAAATAAAATAATATAATAATATTATGTAATAATATTTATACAATTATATAATTAATATATACAATATTATAATAAATTAAATAGTAATATTATTCTATT